GCAAAAAACTGCCATTTTAAACTCTTCTTGATTGATTAAAAATATGTGGTTTAAGTTGGAAGCACTTAACCCTGCTTTCAGTGGGACTGTTTTGTCTGAATCTAAGTTGTCAGAATTTAACCAAGTAATTATATGATTGAAATCAGTTTGAACTTTTGAATTTATGCATCAAAGCGCACTTAAATTTGTATCGTCTGCAAAAAAACACCTTAGTGATTTTACATGCGCTAGGAAAATCATTTATATAGACAATGAACAACAGATGACATAAAATGGAACCCTGTGGAACACCGCAAATGTTGTGTCCAACAAAGACTTGTTCTAGACCTTTCCACACGCTGTTCACGATTATTTAGATAACTTATAAAGCAATCTGAGGCTTTTCTTATGTTTCCATAATATTCAATTTTTTAATTAGCAAATTGTCATCAATCGTATCAAAAGTTTTTTTTTGAGGTCCAAGAAAAAAAAATTTTGTTTTGCCACTTTTTTCATGGCTGAACATTTCAGTTAATCTCCACAAAGGCGTTAATTGTACTCTGCTTTGTTTTCTGAATCCAACCTGTTGAGTATAAATTAAGTTCAATTTCTCAACGTGCGTTCTTTGACTCTTTTGCAACTGTCTGTTGGCTATGTTTCAAGTTTTGAAACTAATCGCTCAAAATTTTTTTAAGACAATTTCTAATGGCATTTGTTTTTGTTTATGACTCAAAATGGACATCTACAGAAGTTTTGTCGACTGAGTGGTCGATAGGTTAATGATACTGAAAGCTTATTCGATACCGGTGGATGAGTTTCTCGACTGTTTTTCTGAAATTGAATTTTTCGTTCTGTTATTTCAGTCTCACCTTCTATTGGTATGTCACGCTTGCGTTGTATTACAAATGATGTGAAGGTCTATTGTGCCTGTTTGTGATGAAACTATGACTCCTTCCACTTTCTTTCATATTCGAAAGTGAAATGCTTAAGGGAAACTGAGGGACTCCAAATATCCTATTTAAGTAATTGAAACATGTTGCAGTTTGTAAGTTCAACTTTGTCTTCAGGTGTGCAATGCCAATTATTTAAGAGGCAAAGCGAGTTCGAACGAGTTATTGTATATCCTCGGGGCAAGGTTTCCCAGAATAATGTGAAAGAGGAATGATCCCGGGCCATGAAGCTTTTTTTTTAGTGATGGTTAGCAGTTGTCAAAAAAGCAGGGATTAACTCCTCGGACTACAGAAATAATCTGCGCTCTCGTTTTAGCAAGCTGTGCTAGTTCTTTTTGTATGATGCTTGTGCAATGTACGGTATGCCAAAGTAAGCGTTATCGTTGTGCACTTCCGAGCGACTGACGACAATTGACTCAAGCTTGACTGCACGTTCGCAGAGAAACGATAGAAGTTCAGAATCGAAAGCTCAAATGAGTTCGGTGCTTATAGAGGTTGATTGGAGTGATCGTTAAATGGATTTAATTATCTGCTACCAATTTCCCCGAATTTAAAATTACATGCTTGATTGAACCAATTTATGTTTGTTTTAATTTACAAGGGAATATTAGACGGATACAAGGACAACGAAATTTCATTAAATGTTTTTGATAGCTGCGCGCATAGTTGCGTTCCCGGTGACAGTTGATGCAGAGATTGTTGCACGGTATTTGGGTCATGTCGCGTGGATAAGGCCGAATAGAAGCTATCGGCACCCGAAACTGTATTAGTTTTGGGTAAAACTGTCGTACTTTGTAACTCATGTCTCTAGACGCTCTGGCATTGTAGTATTTCATGGGGTTTGCATAAAAGTTCTTTTTATGTTTACAATAAATATCGTTTGCTCATCGCACTACTGATTATTGCGGTATCGTGTCAGGGCTTGTTGCACTTAATTTTTTTTCGCCACAAGCACACGAGTTGATAAATAAATCAATAAAGGTATCGGGTTTCACTCTATTAAAATCAATCAGAAGGTTTGTTTTCTTAGCATAGCTTTCATATAAAATGGGAGCTAAATGCGCAATCGAGTCAATTGGGACCTCAAAAAAGTTAATGATAGTTACTGTAATTTATACGTGTTTGTCAAGTGACGCATTATTGGCATTAGGTTCAAAAAACGTTTCGATAATTTGGTTGGCTTTCAAACAAATTGATTTTCCCAGAACTCTTAAAACAATATTTTCTATGCACAGGCGAATCTGAAAACAAAACAGCCCAATAGGCCGTTTTGGGCGCTTTTGAATTGTTTTGACCAAAAAATGGTGTAAAAAATGGTGTTTTGACCAAAAAATGGTGTAAAAAATTGGCGCCTAATGGCCAATAGAAAAATTTTACATTCGGTCTACCGCTATTGTCCCAACATAGTTACAAAGGGCACCCGCTTCTTGTGATGTTTTTTTTTGCGGTAGTATCATCTCACATAAATCCACCTCTAGTTTGTACGGAAATGAGAAATGGTTTGCAGATTTTGGTTTCACATTGTTTTTGTAGGTTAAATGATTAAATTTTATGCATTTCAAGTAGTATAAAAATAAAGTTTGGTTTCTTTCAAGTAGTATAAAAATAAAGTTCGGATGTCTCTTAAAGGAAAAAATAGTTGCAATCAGCTTAATTAATAGATGATTTTCAAAAAATGACATGGCTGCTGGGGTAGAGACTGCTCATTAAAATGGCTCAAAACTGCCTGATTCAGTGCCTATCATCCCCATCAATCCATTTACTATGGAGTCAAACTAATCGACGTGAAATGGGCTTTAAAAAGGGAACAATTTAAAAATTGATTTTACTCGCGTTGAATGGATTTAAAAAAGGAAACAAGTTAAAGTTTCTGCATTTATGACAGAAAAGTATTCATTTTTTGTATTTAAGAAAATCTCACGTGAAATGTGTTTCTCAATTGTTTTTTTAATCGACTGCTCTTTCGCGCTTCATGTTTTGAGTAACAAATATTTGATGTGCAAACTTTGAAATTGAATGAAAAAGTGGCCTTTTGTGAAACGCTGGAATCTTATTGATTTGTCAATGGCAGGGTCAGTTTCTATGCATTCAGCTATAAGTTCGTTCTTAAGTCTGTGATCATAGATAAATTACATTTAAGTCTTGCTTGCTTATACTTGTGTTTACACTTGCGAGAGCAAGTGTCTTGTAATCGGGAACCAGATTTTTTCTGTTAAACACAAATCTGTTAGAAATCGAACTATTTATTACTTTGCTAAGAGTAATAAACGCAGTGAAGACTCTTATATAGGTCTTGGTGATTTTTTTTTCAGGAAAAAGTCCTTAAATGCTCTAATAACTACAAATGTGCATTCATACATATTGATGTATTTATGAATGCACATAGGTATATATGCACTTTTTGAATTCAATTGAAATTCATCTGCTGAAACTGACATAAATAGCACTCTCCAAATATGAACGTGGAAATGGTGCAAAAAATTGTGAACGATTTTAAGTTTCGAAAGTGGAATTTAATTTTTTGATTTCCATCGGAATAAAAACTTTACCTTTTGATCCAGTTTTCTCAAGTTAGGTTGATGTTATCAAAAAGTCGCCAAGCCAATCATAAATTGTTCTAAAAATTCAAAGAGTTTAATGGGTACCTGTTTTTTCTTTGAAATTTGAGATTTTATTAAACAATTTGATAATGTTTTCTTGCGTTCATTACTATTTTCAAATCTTCGATTGGCTATTTGAACCTTAACAATCTTGTGGCTACTTCTTATTTGGTCTAGAGGTAATGCCTTCGTTTTTTTTTCAATATGCATGAAAATGAAATTTTGTTCTGAAAAAGTTGGAAAGTCCAATTTTCGACATTTTTTTGCTGCTTAAAACATTCTAAACATTTTAGGAAATTGCTTAACACAGTTCTTACTATAATTGACAGTCATCCTGATACTTCGCAGATTACGTCAGATTTTCAGTGTTTTGTTTTTGATCATGATGGTTTCGGCTTTGGTTTTATCGGCTTAGTCTTTTTATTTTCTGTAGTTTGAAGGAAAAAAAGTCGATTATAGTGTATGAAGTTTTTAAATAAATAGCTCTAAATTTTTTATGTTAACAATGTTTTTGCGGCTCAGTGAGCGTGTAATGGATATTAAAAGCTCGGTAAATAATTTTCAAAGCTTTTAAAATGTTTTTCTGAAATTGAGTTTTCCTTTTTCAAAAAAATCTTAATTCTTTTCAAATGCTTTTTTTTCGACAAAGTGATCTCCGTCTTATTTCCTATTAGCTACCTTGCAGTGCTTCGCTCAGTGTCAACAAATATTTTGAAATGATTTTTTGGCCCGACTTTCGAAGAAAGTAACAGAATATATACGCGTGGGATCGAAATAATAGTTTTCAACAAAACGTTTTATAGTTTTTTTGAGTTCAAATGTATAAAGGTATTTCAGCTGCAATCATTTCTGGTAAAGTTTTTGAGTTTTATAAATTGCCAGTTAAGCCATGTTTTGGACTAATTTTTGCGCAGTTCTAAAACTTAGTCGATTATGATGAAGGTACAAGCGTAAATAATTTTAGCGCGGTGAGTTGTCATTGGTCACAGACTAAGACAAGGTACTCCTGATAGGGCGCTCTGGGTTCGAATCCCGTTGTCTCAGATGTTTTTTTTAAAATTTCTGAATTTTTTTTCAAGGCATTTTTAAAGCTGTCAGTTTTTTTGCGCCAATTTTCATGAAAATTTATTGCGTCATCTTAACGGATGTAGCAACTCATCTCATGCCATTTACCCTACAATCGAAATTAGTCCTATGGCAAAAATATAGTTTAAACTTTGCTTATTCGGAGCTTTAATAATTTTGAGAGAGATATAAAATTGTGTGGTGTGGCATGTCAATACGGTCAAAACTAATAGTAGCTATGGGATAAATTAGCATTCGATGCGTATGACAAGTTTGAGTACAGGGTAAATTGGCATACGGTAAGTTGGAACACAGGTAGTTCGGAGTAGGGTATACTGTCCTGTCGCCTAATTTACCTGTCGCCTAATTTACCAACTCAATATAGGAGAAAAAATGATTTATGCTAAAATATAAACTATCTAGCTAAACAAAACATTTGTACAGATTTATTTCTACCATCAAGGTTAAAATAACTACCAAATTAACTACTAAATAGCCCCATTCTTTTTCTAACAACAACGTCAGTTGAATAATACATTTTGTAACCGCACAGCGATTTTGGCTTATTCGTCCAATGAAGTTGGAAAGCAAAAGCTTTGAGCTCCACTATTGAAATTAAACTATTTTCGGTTGTGAATTCAAAATCAAGAGTAAGACACGTATTTACACTGATGGGATTAATACTTGAGTTATCACGTCTCGGGTCCAGATTGAACAATTTGAGCGTTTCAAATAATTCGAAAGCGACCATTGGTAAATAACAAAGCACGATCGATTAACAGCGAGGGAAATTCACGGATAGAATAAGTAGCACCAGATTCACAAATCACTTATAAATTAGTTTTTTTCCTCGTGAGTTAGTGAAAAGACAGATATCGGGTAGAACATTAAACAATATGGTAGTTGATCAGTTGAATTTTTCTGTATGAACCAAATTCAAAGTACCTCGAGAAGCTTTTAGAGGCATGTACTCTACTGCTCGGTTTCGACATGATCATGTAGTTCATTAGAATTAAAGTTATTTGAGTGCATTTCTTCATTTTTGGAGCTACTATTGTCATCACTATTGTTATTGTTTTCATGATTTTGCGATAGTTGTTGTTCCATCTCTCGTCGACGTTTCTCAATGTCCTCGGGTCGTCGCAACATGTTCATGTCGAACTCGGCGTGTTTGCGTGCGTGTTTGGTCAGATGGTCGCTCCTCTTGAACTTCATGAGGCAGATGGGACACTGGAATCGGTTCTCCCCAGTGTGAACTCTTCGGTGACGCTTCAATTCGTCTGAGCGAACGAACTGCTTTGTGCATCCGTCCCAATCACAGGCGAATGGTCGCTCTCCTAAAAACATTCAATTGTCAATATATTTTCAAAAAAGCCTATCTTGAAAACCTAACCGAGGGTCTGAAAGATTTTTTTGATATCGAGGATTTTTTGATATCGACGATGTTTGGTCAAAGAGTGCGACTACTTTGAGGTAGAAACATGTTTTAAGCGCGGGATAGAAATGGAAAGAGACTTTTTTTTTCTATTTACCTGTGTGAATTCTCATATGAGATTTGAGATGTGCCAACTTAGCATACGCTTTATCGCAGTTCTCGTGATTGCAAGTGAATGACTTCTCTTTCGGAATATTTTGTGATCTGTGTCTGATGAAACAAGTCAGAGTCGCCTTCTCCGAACCACTTCCCGAATTGTCATGAGCCGAATGCGATCCACCAGACGACGTGGAGAGCGCGGGGGACGAGCACGAGCTGAAAGTCATCGGACTGAACATTTTCACATCATTGGTCGATTTCGGCGTTACTGCCGTCCGATTTTGCGACGTCTTTGCTTCACTTCCGCCGGAGATATTTTGCATATTGTTTCCGAAAAACGCGAAATTTTCTGGTAGGCTAGAAAGGTCTTCGTATTTAAACTCCCGTTTGACTTGATGTTGTCGAGGAGCTTCCAAGTCCATCTCCTGCTTGGAGAATGTTTCTTGACTTCTTGATGGACTCTGTTTGATTTGGATGTGAGTGTCGTTCTTTTCACTTTCGATCTTGGGCTCAACGGGGGTAGCACAAGGGAAAAACTTTCGCTTTTTGAATGGCAGCAAGGAACCAGCGAGATCAGTTTTTCTTTTCATACAATCCGTTGACTCCTCAGATGGAGGACGTGAGTTTCGACCCTTGTCCATGTTAAACGATCTATCTGCATCCGTGCAACTCTTATCAACGCTTTCAGTTACTTTCTCGCTCACAGAAGTAAACTGATTGTGGAAAGCAGATGAGCTCTCACTAGAAGTTCGATGCTTCTCGGAAATGAGCATGCTTTCGTTAACAGCGAGCAAATTGCCAGTGTTCAATGACGAACAAAATTCTTGATTATTTTGGGTCTGTATTCGTAGAGGCGTTCCGTAGTCAAAAATTGAAGAGTTGTCTTGAAATATGCCATGCTCTCTGGATGCTAAAACATTTGCAAGGTGCAGTCTCATATCGTTCTGTTGCGCTTTGAAATCTGTCGGCTCCTGTGGTATGACTTTAGGAATTGTGTGTCCGGTCCTCCTCAGAATCTGAACTGTTTCTTGATTTGATGAGAGAAGTGGTTTGAGAACTCGGTTCTCGGCCTGCTTCTGTTGCACCATCTGTGCCGCTTCTAGTTCTGAAATTATTCTCGGCGGTGATGGTGTTGAGTTGTAATGAAAAACAGGCTGAAAATGGGGATGTTGTTGCGACTTTTGTTCATGGATTTGTGGCAATGATGCTAGAATCCATGCGACGTCTATGGTTTGGTCGACCGGCGACATCACCTTTGGCGTGTAGAAGCGTAGTTGAGGTGATAAAGATAAAGTTGGAATCTGCATGATCTGCATGGGAATCACTTGAACAGGCTGCTCAATTTTCTGCAGCGAAAGGAAATGCTCGGGCGTCATACTTAACGAAGATGGGTTTAAAGAATAATCGGACATTAACAGTTGATCTGAATGCTGTTTACCCATTTTTGCAAACGTTGCAACAGAATTAGTGCAGTTTTTATAATCAATTGAAAATATGCTTGCGGTTTGCTTTTTAAACCGTCTTAATGCGTCGTTCTTTTGACGACGGAATGCTTTTTAACGATTTTAATTAACGATTCGAAAGTTGATGTAAAATGTTCAGATGACAAAAGTTTTTACGTCAGAAGCTAATAGTAGCATGAAACTGTTACTAGCTTTTTTGTACTAAATATACTAGCAGAGGTGTAAAAATAGTTTAGTACCAAAAAGGACAATTAATCCAAAACCGACTTCAAATCAAGTTGGTATGAAAAAGAAATAACTTGTCTCGTTTGCGGTTGTTTGGAAGTGCGGCCCTGTTTTAGTAAACAAAAGGGTCACGTGGGTGTTGTTTTTGCGGTGAGTGCGGTTTGTACCTTGTCAACAAAGGTGGTTGTGGGAGTGAGTTGTTCTCCCAAAAGAAACAATCAGGCGGCTGAAATTCGAAGTCAGGTGAAGAAAAATGAATATTTCTTCTAGCAGGGCAAAATTTGAACTGCGGTGGAAACTACCTGATTGTTATGTTTACCAAGTGTCTCTCCTTGAAAGTTCACTGTATTCGATTACCCTAGTAATGATTTGATTCCCTGTTCTGTAAACAAGCGAAATTTCCGAGTTTGGAACTTTAAGAAGTTCAGTTTTCGGCAATTCTGACTTGTTCAGGAAATTGTAGACGCCGCAGTTGAAGTTAAAAAGTATCGCGAACGGTACTGTTTCTGCTATTTTTTGAAGCCAAACCGAAGAGCTACTAAGTGGAAGGAATATAATTTAGGAAGTGAGCTGTGCTATGAAAACTGAAACTGAGAGGAAACTGTTTGTTGGTAAGACAGATAGTGTACCACCGATAGAAGAAGAGACAAGATAATAAAATGACGAATGGCAACCGAGCTGAGATTAAAGTGAATGCGGGAAATATATAGTAAGTATAAGGAAAGGAATGGAATGGAATGAAGGAATTCGAACTGGTAAAAGGGACAAACAGACCAATGACGTATGTGCTCCCTAATGGTACTATAAGTATAAACTGACTGAATTCGATACGAGAAGACAGGCGACCAAAATTAACTCTGTTCGTATGGTGTATACTGAAGCGGGAAATCAATTTTTAATCGAACTCGCAAGGAAAATTTCACGAGTGAAGGTATAAGTTCAGATCAATTTGTAAAAAAAAGTCCAATATGGTTTGCACTTTCCGTTCCTGCTAGGAAAAATTTCTGACTCAAACCTTTTGATTCTGAAGTTGAATTTAAAAACAGACAAATTGATTTGAGCAAAGGTGTATGATGCAAAAATAACCTTGTAGTGTTTTAATTAGGCAAGTTTTCGAGCAGAAGTATTCGGTGATATTTTGCTATATCCCGAAATTGCGGATCTGATTTTACGACTTCTTTGGTCAAACTTTATTGTGGTATGATAGTAAAGTTCAATAGATCTCAGATCTTGTTAGAGACTATTTATGACTTATGACGTTTCTATTTTCACGGTAGAACTGCAATTCCCAATTTAGAACAGAAAGTCATGCCACGTTATTCGGTCGGCTATATTTGCTGCTTGGTTTGTCGTCATCCAATAATCGTTGAACCAATAAACGCAGGTCTTTGTAGTAACCGCCCTAAACGAGGTCAATCAGTACCGGATTGCTATTGCCAGATACCAAATGAATAATAGAAGTGAATTTAAACCAGGTGCTGGATTAAAAACAAAAGCTATGATCTTCAATTTTTTAGTGATGGTATTTTTTGTGACTTTTTTGGACTTTGCGCGTCCAGATATTTATACTTTGTTCTTTTTCAATCCTCCATATGTTGTCATAACCACCTTTGACTCGTTGTCGTATTTGATATGCGAGGCGTTGTTGAAAGGCTCGTTAGCCAATCGGATTTGAGATCTTTTTCATATGCAGGTTTAACAAATGATGATATCGCTCGAAGCAGTTTCGTCATCACTCAAAATAGAAGCATTACCAACACACCACTAATAGCTGTAGGTACACGACCGACCGTGTTTTTCATTTTTTTTTTGGTGATTTATATTGTAAAGACAAAAGAAATTTTGTTTTTCGCTTCGTTTTTTTTGTAATGCATAATTGTAGTGTTTTTGCATGATGTAATTATTTTTTTTTCTATTGTTCTGTGTTGTACAAACTAAGGGATACTAGATGTAGTGTAGTTTAAATGTGGCCGATTGAGCGATCACGAAGTAGTACTTCATCTACATACCATTCGTCGATACACACCAACGCATCTTGCAAGTTTACGTGGCTGCTTTGCATTGCAACAGTATGTGTCTCAATGTCCAATGACGGATTGAAGTGATCCATAAGCAGTATGCGTGGGAAGAAATGAAAGAATGAGAGTTGTGACTACCATTTTAGTAAGAGAATTTAGAGAGCATTTATATACCAATATCTGCGTCTTATGTAATAGCATTACAAGTAGATGATGACGAAAGGGTGTGATGAACTATGACTGGTTTTTATCCGCAAGCTCGAGCGTAGGCTGGAACTATATGGTGCAACTCAGCCTACAATTCCGCAAGGATTTCATTTTCGCTTTTTATCTTTTCAAAAGTTATATCTCTTTCAGCAGGTAAATGTCACAACCGCTAGCTGTTAATCGATTGCGCACGTGGCTGTGACGAAAGTAAAGCAACGCCTCTTTGATCTTTTAGATTGTTTGAAGCTAGGCAAATTTTATGACATGTTTATAGTATCGAACGTCATCATAGAAGGAGTTTGCGCGTAATCACAGAGGGAGGGATGCGCTAATTAATGAGAGGTAATGAGTTGCTTGCAGTGCGCGGTGCTATTGCGTAAAATAATAAAGACACGATCGTCATCTTCAACATAGGAATGTTTAAGAGAAACTGTCGTCACTTGTGATTTAGTTTGAAAGCCAAAAGTGCACCCACTTATATTCAGGATAGGTTCAACACAGTAAGAGAAAAATCATGTTTTACCGAGGATATTTTTTGAGAAATTATTTGCTTTGGATATTGAAGTTTTTTTTATCTTAACTATCCGTGAAGCAGATAACTTTGGTACCATAGGGGGTGGGGGGATAATTAACAAAATCCATCAAAAGAATTACGATGCATTGATAAACTTAAAATGCCTGCTATATCATTTTTCATGGCCAATTTATCTCAGATTGAGTTTTATGAATTATAAATGCTTTTTTCTGAATGACTTCTAGTTTCAAAAATGGATTTAATTTTTCAGAATTCCAATCGGAATAGAAAAAGTGCCGAATAGTTCAGTTTTCAGATTGGATCAATTTCATCAAAAAATTGACAATCATTAAAATTTAAAGAGCTTACATGCGATACATTTTTTTCTTTGAAACTCGAAAGTTATTTTTTTGTTTCGAAAAAAAGTAATCATTTTTTTTCGGCCACCTTGAGTTCATTGACGCTTTTCTAGCTGTCTATCGGTTATGTTTGTACACTATGTTCGAAAATTTTACTAAACTTTCAATAGATAATTTGTAAATTTTGAATGGTCGATTTTTATGTCTCTGTCTTAGGTGGTGGATTTTGATTTGTGTCCATATATATGCTTGATAAGTTTTCCGATTAAGCTTGCGATGTCAGAGTTTTTCAATATAATCGTTCACAAATACTTTGATTGAGAGGACGCCATTAGGCTACAAGAGCCTCTTTTCGGGAGCCTCAAGTCAGGAAAAAAAGATACTGTTTTGCCCTGCAATTTGTCTGGTATTCATGATTTCTTTTGATGCAATTTCTCTTGTTTGATCTTTTCCTTAAAGTATTTTGAATGCAAAGCCAGAAAGTCAAAATTGCGTGGTATAATTCTCAATTTTGAAGAAAGACCTAAGAAAAAAGACCTGAAAAAAGACATGCAGAGACCTCCATTTTGAAGAAAAATAGAAGAAAGACCGGCTGTTTAAAAAATGCGGGTTCAAGCTTCAAAATAAATTAAGTGCCTAAAATTCGTTTCGGGATAATTTGGATATCTTGAAAAAAAATATGAATTTGTTTACAAGATGAAGAACTTTTTTATACCTGGCACTGGTGAGGTAAATCAATGCGTTCTGTAATAATGTTTCCTTTCTTCCTGTTCATCTTGTCCAACTTATCTGTTTGATTGTTAACTGGTTCTCATTTATGTTTGAGGTTTCTAGGCTCAAATAATGAAGCTCGGATTTTTTTTTGATTTTCGAACTGTGCAATTTTACGATTTTTCATGATCTTCAAATAACTGAGAAAAATTTAGAATTCATATATCTCTTTCTCAATCTGACCATGTTAAAAAAGCTGTGTTCCGATTTGATAACTATCCCTAGATATGAAATATCAAGTTATGATTAAATGCCGTCTATTATTTGTGATTAGCCACAAAGCTTGTTGATTCATTTACTATGATTTTAAGAGACTGTTCACGGGAAAGTTGAGATCTTTTACTAGTCGTTACACTAGCATCAGCGTAGTGTATTATTACGAACATTCTGTTTTTCTAACCTAACTCGCAAATAAAAGTGTTCATTAAAAAGGTTCTACTATTTGGAAGCTTCACTGTAGCATTGGAAATTGCATAGCATCTGTTCTCTGCTTCATTTGTGACTAGTGTTTGGTTGCAAACTATTAAGCTGCCGTGACTGAGTGGTTAAGGTGTGAGGGTCCTAATCTCTAGGTCGCAGGTTTGAATCTCAGATAGATCCGATTTTTTGCTAATTCGAAGCTTTTTTCTACTTTTTTATTGTACTTTATAGAGCTGCTTTTTTGCTGTCGCTAGTGTTTGCAAAGCGAAGCTTCGCCTCTGCGTTTATTTTTGCTACAATAGTTTCTTGGCTGATGTCATTTTTTCTCCGTTTGAGATAATTGAATGATTTTTTCTTCGTTTTTGTAATTCTTTAACTACATGTTCCTTAATAGCAAAAATTTGCTCAAGTTGATCATATAATTGTCTGTTGTTAAACGATCCTTTTCGACAATATACAAAAATCTTCAATTGAGAATTGAATTTCAAATTAAAAAGGGATTTATTATTATTTTAAAGTTCCATTAATTCAACCAGGGTGGACTGAGGACCAGATGGTCCCGTTGTCTATTCTCTCTGAGTCTCATTAGTTGAACCAGCTTATTATTTAATTGAAATGGTTTATATTGAAAATGTTGACTGGATCAAACAACCCTTCTCAATTATGAGTTTTTGGTTTCAATGAATAGAACCTGCAAGTGTGGCTACACCCACCCATTTTTTTACACAAAATTATGACCCTCGGAATAGTCAATTTTTTTTGACCGTTTTTTTTTTGAAATTTTCGGCTTTTCTCTTGAATTAACCTCTCAAATCTGATATTGTGGGTTCAATGAGATAACGGGTAGCTGGGAGCTTCTCTGCATTAGAGCACGTTAACAAAAAGTTTTACACAAGAAATTATCGCCCTCTGAAAATCAAATTTTTGATTTTTTTGATCGTTTTTTTTGAAAAATTTTTGGTGAATCTAGGAAACTACCCTGCCATATCTGAGATTTTGAATTCAATTTTCGGAACGGGTTGTGGGAAGCTCATTTGCTTATGCGACTACGCCCAAATTTTTTTGACTCCCAAAGTTTTGGCCCTATGAGAAGAAATTTGATTGTGTGACCGTTTTTTTCTAAAGTTTGTTTTTTTCTCGAAAACTACCCTCGCAAATCTCCGATTTTGCGTTCAATCGAAATTACAGGCAGAGTAATCCCTTCTGCATAAGCTATGATTCTCGGAAATGTCAATTTTTTGACCGTTTTTCGGACTTTTCTCGCTAACTATCCTGCCAAATCTGATATCATAGGTTTAATCGAAACAACAGGTTCTGGATAGCCTACTTTTATAACTGACTATGCCCTGTTTCTTTGAGGAAAAAAGTTAAGACTTTCAAACAAGTCGAAGTTTGTAAACATTGACAGTTTTTGGAAACTTATTGACTTTAGGCGAAAACTATCGGGCCAATTCTCAGGTTGTTCAATCGAAAAACCCGGCTTTCGGAATCTGCTCTCCTTAAGCGGTCATAACCTGCTTTTGGCAGAAAAACGTTGTGGATTTTGGAAAGTCTTCTGAATGTTTTTAGAACTTTTGACCGCTTTGTACAAATTTTTCGAGTTTTCTCCAAATTTATGCAATCAAATCTGAGATGAAAAGTTCAATTGAAAGAACCGTTTGCGATAGTTGTTCCTGCAGAAGTGGCGACTCCTTATTTTTAAGAGAAATGTTATCTCCTTGGGAAAGTTGATTATCTCAGAATTTTTTTCTCTTCCTACTTATTTAAGTAGAGAAACAACTAAGGTTTTGGTCAAAGTTCAACTTTTTAAATCAAATTTTTTGCTGCCGCATCAGTATAGCACTTTCATTTAGTATCAAACACGTATCGGCAACTTCAGCTGGACCCCTAGTTGTATTTTGTCGAGACATACTATGTTTGTGTTCTATCGTAAGTGGTGTTAATTTCGCTTCTGTGTTAATTTTACCAACTCGATTTGTTGAAATTTCAGATTTATTTTTGTGTTTCTCTTTCTTTTCATACAGCTTAATAGGTTTCGGCTTATACTATTTCGGCTAGCGGCCTCTTAGATGCATCTTTCGATGAGCGAAAAAGTTTTAGTGTGTCTGTATGTGCATATGTTTTGAGTTTGAGCTGGACAACTTATTTACTTTTGATTAGTTAGTATTTTTGATTTTTTTTCGACTGAAAGTGTTTCTGCTGAGGTGTGTTCGGCTTTGTTACCGATTGGCTTTCTTTTCAAACCCAGCTTAATTCATTTTCATAGATCTAGTTTTTCTTCGACAATTTAGTTGTTTTTCCAACTGATCGGCTTTCTTGTTTTGTTTTGCAATGCAAGTGGAGTTTGCTGGATTGACTGTTTGGATGGATGTTTGATATCCTTCATTAGGAATCGGGTCATTTTGTCTAAAATCTTAATAAAGTTTCAATAGGAGCGCAATTATT